CAGTAAGTGCAGTAGATATACAGTGTATGTATATTATATTTATATAGCACTAACAGGTGTACTGAGCACTTTACAGGTTACATTACAGTAGAGGGAGGTACAGTAAGTGCAGTAGGTATACAGTGTATGTATATTATATTTATATAGCGCTAACAGGTGTACTCAGCACTTTACAGGTTACATTACAGTAGAGGGAGTTACAGTAAGTGCAGTAGGTATACAGTGTATGTATATTTTATTTATATAGTGCTAACAGGTATAATCAGCACTTTACAGGTTACATTACCGTAGATGGAGGTGCAGTAGGTATACAGTGTATGTATATTTTATTTACAGTAAAGGTACAGTAAGTGCAGTAATTATATTTTATATTTCTAAAACTTGTTTAATGGGAAGCACATACAGACAAGGAGCTATGTGTAAAATGGACTAAGCTGAGCTTGGTGTGATCAGGGCTGATACACAAGGTATTGGTGTATATTCTCTTCACCCCATGAATTGCCAGTAAAACATCTTTTGAAGTACAGAAAGGGCAATCTTGATTGAATGGTAGCTTTTCCCTCCAACTCCCAACAAGATGACTGGCCATATGGCTTGGCTCCTGTCTGCCGTATTGAGGTATTAGTGGCATGGCGGAGAAGCTAATGGCACAATCCCAGAGGCCTTTGCTCCATGCCAAGTGGACAGATGGCACAGTCCATTCACTCAGACAGCCTCTTCCTGACACCTGGACCCAAAGCCGGGCACGGTCTGCTTCACACAGGGCTGGCCGGACACCGGCTCCTAACATAGTGACTCGTAGTCAACCTTTTACACATCCCTGCCACCACAACAAGGTTATACTGTTTGTCGTAGGATCCTGCCCATCGCCTCATAAATTCAACTCTCATTATCCTAACCCACGTGTTTCTCCAAAATGGTCACTCAGCGATGTAACCTTCGTCAGACTCAAATATCTGGATCCTGAGATATTCCTTCAAATCAGCAAATAACAAGTGGTCTTTACCATCACTGGAAACAGCGGATCCGCTCAGCCAATCAATATCAAACTTGGATTAAACATTGTTAGTTCAGAAGGGTTCGTTATGGCACTATTTTAACTTCTCCCTCAGAATTATAACTAATTCAGAGTGAATTTCAAATTTAGGTCCAAAATAGCTCAATTTGAACAATTCTCCAATCCATCTTGGCTTCTGGTTCAGGTCATTCCGTTTCAAACTTAAAATTCACTTTGAATTCCCCACAATTCTCAGTTTAGTGAATAAATGTGAGAGACCCATAACCTTATATAAGGTGCAGAAAACCTGCTCCCTGTATAACAGAGAGCGTCTGTATGGTCATTACCCACTGAGTGTCCACATTCAGACCGGTTTACATAGGAGAAAGCCGACACGTGTTTGACTCACAAAGAATCCTGTAACAACAATAAACGACAAATTCTTCTGTCTACCACCATGCCAGCAGTATTGTGGGAGTAAGGGGGCTGCATTTATTGCTTCTCTATGGTGAGGGAATATGAGGCCATTTTTTTAGGAGGAGGTTTATTATCTCTTGGCTTGCATTGTTCCCATTTTTTTAAGAACTGGCTGCACACTCTATTTAATGCAGACAGGAGCCTCCGTGGGAGTAGGAGGACAAGCGGTCTCCAGGTAACTGGCAACCACCAAGGCTCATAGCTCCATTCTCCATCTGGAAAATCTCTCACGTACACGTCTTTAATACACAGATCTCTCACGTACACATCTCTAATACACAGATCTCTCATGCACACGCCTCTAATACACAGATCTCTCACGTACATGTCTCTAATACACAGACTATGGAAAAGACTTTGGCTCCATGGCAATTGAATTGTATGTATGTGATCTGAGCGCTATTCGGTAATAATGTGCGCTCGGATCTAAGCTATCTGGGGATATGTTGCATGTATATGATTTATGTAGTAATTGTAACATTGTGTAATTTTATGTCTTTTTGCAACCATGTGGTTAATGGAGTCTTGCCTCTGTCCTGGGAGATAATTTGATTACTTCCCAATTATCTCCAGGATAGAGAGGAGGGATTGTGATGTCACTGTGGGAGTGTTTTGTTTGTATTGTCTGTGATTGGCTAATATCCAATATGTGTCCCATTGTTCCATCAGGTCCCCTAGGGAAGTGTCCACCTGGTGGACACTTGCATAAATACCGGGCAGGTATCCCTCAATAAACCAGACCTACTTGCACCTTTCTTGAAGCCTTGGCTCATGCTTGGGGGAAGGGATACCTACACTCTGGGGAATGCTATAATCACTTACTCCCCAGAGTAAACTCTTGTAAGAGCTTGATTTGTTCCTGCTACGCTCTCTGGATTTAGGAGAGGTTCACCCACTGGGAGCTGGATCCCGGTCGTGGATCCAGGGTGGGTGAGAGACGGTGAGACCCCGGCGCAGCTGCATCGCTGGAAGTGGGGTCTGCAGTGCTGATGGCGTCGGTTGGAGTGCTCGGCAAGCGCTAGGAGCATCGATTGGCGGAGGTACTAGGTCGGAGTGCCAGCGGTCCGTCACAACGTTGAACTCTTTATATTCTTTAAACGATTCATGAACAATTGTTGCAGTGCGGCAAGGTGCATTATCCTGCTGGAAGAGGTCAATGCTATCAGGGAACACCATTGCCATGAAGGGGTGTTCGTGGTCTGCAACAATCTCTAGGTAGGTGATACGTGTCACAGTAACATTCACATAAATACCAGGACCCGAAATTTCACAGTCGAGCATTGCAGAGCATAACAATGCCTCCGCTGGCCTGCCTTCTTCCCATAGTGCACCTTACTGCTATCTCTTTTCCTGATAAACGATGCACTAAGCCATCCACTTTTATCTGAAAGAAAACGTTATTCATCGGCACAGGCAACCTGCAGGCCCATATACAGCAAACTGCAATGCACTGTGTGTTTTGACACCTTTATTTCACGTCCAGCATTCGGTTTTTAGCAATTTGACAGTAATTCTTTTCTGTGATCGGATGTTCTGACTCAGTCTTCTAGCCATCGCTATTTGGCCCTTGTCAACGTCACTCAGATCTTTTCGCTTGCCCCTTTTCCTGCTTTCAACGCATAAAATTCAAGAGCCGACTGTTCACTTGCTGCATAATATATCCCACCCCTGACAGGTGCCATTGTAATGATATCATCAATGTTATTCACTTCATTCCGAATTAATCACACTGGAAAATCCAGAAATCCAACAGAAACCGTCTTTATTCATAAATAAACACTACGTAGCCTGGGAGGGTGTTGCCATGCTGTGCGTGTGTGTATTAAAACTATCCTCAATTAATACGATTAATATGTTCAATCTTTTAGGTAACAGATTAAAAAAAAAATGAGAAAAAAAACGATCAAAACAAAACAAGAGCCAAACTGTGGTTGAGTACAGCGCCAACATACTGTGTAGTACTGTACAATGATTGCAAGCTCCTAGGGGCAGTTAGGACAGCTATCACACAGCTTCCCTCACTTTCTGGTAGCTTGTTTATAATGCAGATTGGAATCCCTCGGCCAGAGTGCTGGCAATCTACAATCTCTCCTGGTTTTGCGTTTGATAAGAGAGAATGCTTGACAGATACTTCATTCTCCAACTTACAAGAGGCCCCGTCCTGCCACACATTTGATTTGCATGTTTGACAAAAGGGGTCTCTTTATTATGTTTAATTGAAAAGCCGTGCGGACACAGAGCATGAATATTCAGTAGCGTGCGTTTGGTGGCGTTCCAGCAGACGCGATGTGCTGCAATTTCACAGCTAGGAGGCCTGTCAGCCCCAGAATGACAGCAGGAAAAGCTATTAATTGAAATAGCTTCATTAATTAGTAATTAACAGCGGAGTAATGACTGTGTCACTCGTCGTATTTCAACGAATGCCCTTCATGTGTTATAGGGCCTTTAATTAAAGAATATGCATTTTAATTAAAAAACCAAGGCTGGCCTGTGGCCTTTATGAAGACTCGGGGAAGTTTGGATGGGTGATGGATTAAAAGGACATTACCTGGGCTCCACTGACACTTTGTAATCAACCTTCACAACTCCTTTACAAAGAGTTAATTTTGTGATTTTCCACCCGTTTCTGCTATCTCCATGTCGGACATAATTTCAAGGAACATTTTAGGTTAAATATGCTAGTTATACCTTAGTACGAGGAGTTTACAAGGGGTGAGCCCCGGTCTCTAGGTCCAGGTACCCTCTGTGCCCCCTATTTTATCGCTCTTGGAGTTTGTTTATTATCTGGCTGGAGATAACGGTCATGAAACCTGGACGTGTCTTAATACAACAGAAACGCGTCTTGTTTAACATTGTTAAATAGAACTGGAGATTCATTTTAACCATATCGTGAAAAATATTAAATGAAAAAAATCAGTTAAGTTTGCCTTCTTTTACATAAAAATATTCTTTATCACTATATGATATAAATGACTTAATGCACGTGTTGCACAGGATATCCAGTTAATTGATAACAGGGCATTTCGATTTACATGATTGGGTATCTTATCAATAAACCGGATTTTATCCTGTGGATCCCATGAATTACATCACATTTACTCATTATAAGAGACCACGGTGGCATCCATCTGCTCTTCATAGTCTATTATTCTCAGTAAAACTTCAACTTTTATATAAAGAAGTCATTTATTAACTTGCGAGGTGCTTGTTATTGTCACCTTCATGCTAAGCAGCAGTGAGTGAGCGAGTTGCCATAGCCTCCATGCACAGGGTGAGTTTAGGGCAGTGCGAGGTCTACATTATCAATACTACAAAACTCTTAAAGGGACACTATAGTCACCAAAATAACTACAGCTTATTGAATTTGTTCTGGTGAGTAGAATCATTACCTTCAGTCTTTTCAGAGAAAATGCAGTGTTTACATTACAGCCTAGTGATAACTTCCCTGGCCACTCCTGAGATGGCTGTTAGAGATCCTTCCTGGGTCATGGCTGCCTAAAATGCATCCAAACATTCAGTATCTCCTCCCTCTGCATGCAGACACTGAACTTTCCTCATAGAGTTTCATTGATTTAATTCATCTCTATGAGGAGATGCTGATTGGCCAGGGCTGTGCTTGAATTGTGCTGGCTCTGCCCCTGATCTGCCTCCTTGTCAGTCTCAGCCAATCCTATGGGGAAGCATTGTGATTGGATCAGGCCACCACTTCTGATGATGTCAGAGGTCAGAGGAAGTTCACAGACAGAGGCAGCAGCTTCAGACTTGAATACGAATAAGATTTTACTATCTTTACGGAGGCCAAGGGGGCTAGATAGTAGTTTTAACACTATATGGTCAGGAATAAATGTTTGTGTTCCTGACCCTATAGTGCTCCTTTTTAATAGAAAATATGGAAGATTGTCATTAAGGAAGATATTTGCGAACTCGCCAGTTGCTAACTATAGAATTCCAATTTCCTGTGACCTGTGATTGAATGAAAGCAGTAACACATAGTTACATAGTTACATAGCTGAAAAGAGACTTGCGTCCATCAAGTTCAGCCTTCCTCACATATGTTTTTGCTTTTGATCCAAAAGAAGGTAAAAAACCCAGTCTGAAGCGCTTCCAATTTTGCAACAAACTAGGAAAAAATCCTTCTTGACCCCAAAATGGCAGTCAGATGTCTCCTTGGATCAAACAGCTATTACCCCACTAATTAGAAATTATATCCCGGTATGCTATGTTTTTGCAAGTATTTATCCAATTGCAGTTTAAACATCTGTAATGACTCTGACAAAACCACCTCTTCAGGCAGAGAATTACATATCCTTATTGCTCTTACTGTAAAAACCTTTTCTTTGCCTTAGATGAAATCTCCTTTCTTCCAGCCTAAATGTGTAACCTTGTGTCCTATCTATAGCCCTGTTTATGAATAGATTTCCAGATAAAGGTTTGTACTGGCCCCGAATATATTTGTATAATGTTATCATATCCCCTCTCAGGCGCCGTTTTTCCAAACTAAACAGATTAAATTTTTTTAACCTTTCTTCATAACTAAAATGTTCCATTCCTTTTATCAATTTTGTAGCTCGTCTCTGGACTTTTTCTAGTGCCATGATATCTTTCTTTAGAACAGGCGCCCAAAATTGCACAGCATATTCAAGGTGTGGTCTTACCAGCGATTTATAAAGAGGCAAAAATTATATTTTCATCCCGAGAATTTATGCCCCTATTTATACATGACAAAACCTTACTGGCCTTAGCAACTGCAGATTGACATTGCATATTGCTGTTTATTTTGTTGTCTATTAAAATTCCCAAATCCTTCTCGTGTGTGGTTATCCCTAATTCACACCGCTTCCTATTTATATATTCATGTCTTTTGTCTTTAACGGATCACTCCAAGCACTCGCCATAGTGGTTATGGTGCTTGGAGTGTTCCTTTAACCCAGCGTTTCCCAATTGGTGTTCCGCCAAAATTTATAAAAACGAAATGGCCGCGGTCGGCGAGGGAGCAGTAGGCAGTGATCTCCCTGCTCAGCTCCCTCGCGCACAAAGCAGTGGTGCCGGAGACGGAATATGACGTTGCTCCGGCATCACTAAGAGGCGTGCAAGGGAGCTGAGCTGGGAGATCACTGCTCCCTCGCCACCCACACGCCAGCTGCTCAGCAGCCCCACTGGACCCCAGGGACCACACACCAGCTTCCCAGCATCCCCACTGGACCCCAGGGATGGAAGCTCAGACCAGCAGCCCCACTGTACCTACCGCCAAGCCGCACTGTACTAACCACCAAGCCGCCCTGTACTAACCACCAAGCCGCTCTGTACTAACCACCAAGCCGCGCTATACTTACCACCAAGCCGCTCTGTACTAACCACCAAGCCTCACTGTACTAACCACCAAGCCGCGCTGTACTAACCATCAAGCCGCACTGTACTAACCACCAAGCCGCGCTGTACTAACCATCAAGCCGCACTGTACTAACCACCAAGCCGCGATGTACTAACCATCAAGCCGCACTGTACTAACCACCAAGCTGCCCTGTACCTACCACCAAGCTGTGCTGTACTAACCATCAAGCTGCCCTGTACTTACCACCAAGCTGCCCTGTACCTACCGCCAAGCCGCACTGTATCAATTTTGTAGCTCGTCTCTGGACTTTTTCTAGTGCCATGATATCTTTCTTTAAAACAGGCGCCCAAAATTGCACAGCATATTCAAGGTGTGGTCTTATCAGCGATTTAAAAAGAGGCAAAATTATAATTTCATCCCGAGAATTTATGCCCCTATTTATACATGACAAAACCTTACTGGCCTTAGCAACTGCAGATTGACATTGCATATTGCTGTTTATTTTGCTGTCTATAATAATTCCCAAATCCTTCTCATGTGTGGTTATCAATAATTCACACCGCTTCCTATTTATATATTCATGTCTTTTGTCTTTAACGGATCACTCCAAGCACTCACCATAGTGGTTATGGTGCTTGGAGTGTTCCTTTAACCCAGCGTTTTCCCAATTGGTGTTCCACGGAACCCTTGTGTTCCACCAAAATTTATTAAAACGAAATGGCCGTGGGCGGCGAGGGAGCAGTAGGCAGTGATCTCCCTGCTCAGCTCCCTTGCGCGCAAAGCAGTGGTGCCGGAGACGGAATATGACGTCGCTCCGGCATCACTAAGAGGCGTGCAAGGGAGCTGAGTTGGGAGATCACTGCTCCCTCGCCACCCACACGCCAGCTGCTCAGCAGCCCCACTGGACCCCAGGGACCACACACCAGCTTCCCAGCATCCCCACTGGACCCCAGGGATGGAAGCTCAGACCAGCAGCCCCACTGTACCTACCGCCAAGCCGCACTGTACTAACCACCAAGCCGCCCTGTACTAACCACCAAGCCGCTCTGTACTAACCACCAAGCCGCGCTATACTTACCACCAAGCCGCTCTGTACTAACCACCAAGCCTCACTGTACTAACCACCAAGCCGCGCTGTACTAACCATCAAGCCGCACTGTACTAACCACCAAGCCGCGCTGTACTAACCATCAAGCCGCACTGTACTAACCACCAAGCCGCGCTGTACTAACCATCAAGCCGCACTGTACTAGCCACCAAGCCGTGCTGTACTAACCATCAAGCTGCACTGTACTAACCACCAAGCTACCCTGTACCTACCACCAAGCTGTGCTGTACTAACCACCAAGCTGCCCTGTACTTACCACCAAGCCACGCTGTACTAACCACCAAGCTGCCCTGTACCTACCGCCAAGCCGCACTGTACTTACCACCAAGCCGCTCTGTACTAGCCACCAAGCTGCACTGTACTAACCACCAAGCCGCGCTGTACTAATCACTAAGCTGCCCTGTACTTACCACCAAGCCGCACTGTACTAACCACCAAGCTGCCCTGTGCCTACCGCTAAGCCGCACTGTACTAACCGCAAAGCGGCGCTGTACTAACCACCAAGCCGCACTGTCCGCCCGCACCTCCCACACCTCATCTCTCTGTCAGTCCCTGCATTGGCTTCCCTTAAGATATAGGGCTCAATATAAAATTCTGGTACATAATGCTACCCCCATCTATCTATCCTCCCTAATACACAAATATGTCCCGTCTAGGCCCCTACGCTCTGCTGAAGACTTGCATCTATCCTCTGTCCACCCAACCGCGCTGTACTAACTATTAAGCTGCCCTGTACTTACCACCAAGCCGCGCTGTACTAACCACCAAGCCGCACTGTACTAACCACCAAGGTGCTCTGTACTAACCACCAAGCCGCACTGTACTAACCACCAAGCCGCGCTGTACTAACCACCAAGATGCGCAGTACTAACCACCAAGCCGCTCTGTACTAACCACCACGCCACACTGTACTAACCACCAATCCGCTCTGTACTAACCACCAAGCTGGACTGTATGTATCCCAAGCCACGCTGTACTAACCACCAAGCACCGCTGTACTAACACCAAGCACCGCTGTACTAACCCCAAGCACCGCTGTGCTGTATTGACAGATGTAAGAAAGGCTGAACTTGATTGTCACTGTACACGTCTCTTTTCAGCCTATGTAACTATTTATTACTAGAATTTATAAAGCGCCAACATATTCCGCAGCGTTGTACAATTGGGAAACAGACCGATACAAAGGATAGAGGACCCTGCCCGTCAGCTTACAATCTAAAGCTATGTAATATGTAACTATGTAACCCTGCATCCACCGGATTAAAACCAGCAGTAATACCCACACTGTGCCGTTTAAATCCCAATAAGGTGCATTAACGTGGTGCTATCACTAATTATGTAACTGCGATGTTACTGCTCTCTCCATCGAGTTTCACTATTCCCTCTATAATCCGTGTCTAATTCTCTCTTTTGTTTTCACTCAATTCACCATGTTTTCCTTCCATCGTTCTCCCCTCTTCTAGTCTTATCTTCCCCCTTCTCTTGTTATATCTCCCTTTCCCAAATTTCCCCCTCCACTTGTTATTTTATCTCCCCCCCTCGTCCTCTTTCCCCCTCCTCTTGTTATTTTGCCCTCCCCCTCGACCACTTTCCCCCATTCTCTTGTTATTTGACCTTCCCCCATCATTTCCCCCCTCCTCTTGTTATCTCCCCCCACCCCCTTGCTTTTTGTTCCTTTGCCTCCCCTGACTCCTTATGTTTTTGTCTTCTTCCGTTTTGTTTTCCATTTCATTGTTTTATCGCTGGATTGTCTCACACTGAGATACACTTTGTGTTCTTTTGAACCCCTTAAGTACAAGGGAAGGTTTGAAATCCACGAATGTCGGAGCATACACGGCATGCCATTTGGTCACTAAGGGGTTAAAGCAGCTTTAACCTCATCTTTGCCAGAAACACTGGTTGCCTGTGCCAAGACCCCGCACCGCGTTTCTTATAAGGAAACATGATGTTTGAAGAGATTAAAGCGAGGCGGAGAGGTGGGGGGGCTTCACTGATCTGCGAAGTTTGTTTTAAGATGACATTCAATTTTTCATAACTTTTTAACAAAGCGAATGCTTAAAAGAACGAGACGGGCGGGGGGCGGCTGCAGTGGGGACACTTTGTAGTGTGACGACGTGTTGGATGACAGGTGCTTTGGCAGACATGTATAACAGATGCTCCCAGCGCTTCCCTTAATAGCTTCTAAATAATACGCGTTTAGCATTTTTCTTTTGTATAGCGTTCTGTCAATATCCAATTTGCTTTTCAGAAGTCGTAAAGTTGCGCTGTCAATCAGGATTCTGCCTCAGGCACTGTGCGC